TCTCACCGCCCCTGAGCCTCTGGCCTGTACCCCAGTTCTGTATGCACAAATAATAAATCTTAAAAAAAAAAAAAACTTTAAAAAAAAAGAAAGAAAGAAAGAAAGAAAAGTAAATTCACAGATGAGTCCCCGCAGTTGGATCCACTTTCTCCACTTTTACAAGTTTTCCTAATTTTCAGTAAAATTAATATTAATTTAATAAAATTAATATTTATTAATAGGCTATAGCTACTAGAACACAGAAATTGGTGATACTCAAAGATACATCAACAACAACACTAAAACTGGGTTTGTGATCTTGAGAAAATTAATATTTTGTTCATCAAAGTCCTTCACAACCCACAGAGGACTGCAAAGGTAAGAGCCTTGCCTGTTACTAGACCAGTGACTGATGCTGTCTGGTTTAGTAATTTAATTTTATACAATCTTTTTTCCAGATTCAGACTCCATTTGTTGTTAAGTTCAAATTGGCCAGTAGTCAAATGTCAATCTTTGAACCATTTTTATAAAACATTATAAATTTTCAGTTGATTGTTCAGATTTACTCATTATGGAGAAAAGCTCTTTAGCAGCAAATTTTGTACAGTTTTATTTTTTTTCTGTGTGAGATAACATAACAGTAAAGAACTTTATATTTCAAAAAATGCATGTGTTCTGAGGAAAATATTTCATGACATTTAAGAAACAAAGTCAAAGAATCATTTCATATTAAATAAACTTACTGGAAAATGACGTAAATATTTTAAATATATAAACAAAACTATCAAAATTTAGCTGTTAAGGAGTTGTATACCAGTTATTTCTTTCTCAGGCATGTTAATTTATTCTCATCATCCTGCATTTTATGCTACAATGGAACCTCCTAGTCCTCTGTTCTACTATTTCTCCCCAACTCTATTCCAGTCTCACCCCAACAGCCTGGCCTCTCAGGGCCTCTGTGCTCACGGCTGCTCCATTTCGAGATCACATGTCTCTCCTGCAGTTTTCCAGGGGCATTACCCCCGGCAGCCATGAATGTTACCCATGGGCACCTCGGTTGGTATCACCTGCAGTAGCCAGAGGCATTAGCCTACTCTAAACAACCAGTTCTTTTCCAGAAGGATGGGCCAGAGTACAGGGCCAGGAGGATTAAGAAGGGAGGAAAGTGGTAAGGAAAAAAAGAAGAGTTAAAGAATAGATACTTTAGTTGCTGGTTTCCCACCCATATTGAGTTTTTTTCCTTTAAAAAAGAAATGCTGCCCAGAATAATTTCTTTATATTTGAAAAACTGTTCCTTGTATTAAGCTACCCAGAATCTCCCATCAGCACCAGCTTCATAATGCCCCAAGAGGATGACCAGATATTTTAGAGAGATGTTTCCCAAGCTGAATTCGCAGGAGTTCATTAGTATTTTATGGCAGAGGGGGAGGGGAAAAAAAGTAATTCAGAACATCAGATTATAAACAACTAACCCCCGCCCCAAATGCTTACTTTTTTGGAGCTTAATGGGTAGGAAAGAATAATACAATCCTCAGTAAAATTACAAGTAAGATTTTCTTTTCCAAATACACCTGCTTCTCCTATGCCCCCCAAAACGGCACCTCCACCCTGAGCCATTTGTTAATAACCACACAACTAAAAGGAACCAGATAACTGGTGATGATGCTGGACAGCTCTCAAGACCCTGCCCAAGAATGAAGGATGAGGTAACATGGCAGCAAAGGGGTGAGACATGGAGGCTTAAGGACAGTAGTTGCAGGGAGAATCAAGGCTGGAGAAGAAGTGGAGGAATTACAAAGCCCTCACTGAGCAAGGGAAGCCACACTCCCAGACCACCCCCACTTTCTAGATCTTCAATTTCATCCATTTCTTCCCTGGCAGGAGGAACTTTGCAAGAAACAGAATCTATCTTAGGACATTTCATAGGAAAAGTGAAACCCCAGATTTAACACTTACATTTCATTTGCTTGGAGATGGACTTGTTAGGTTCAAGCCAGTGCTGGAGAGAAAAAGAGAGGATCGTGGGTCACATGGTTATGCATACATTACACTAAACGGAATTCAATAAAGCTTTTTCCCCCTAAAGTACAACTGTAGTTCCCATAGAAATCGCCAAGCTTCTACCCTCTGAAGAGCAATATGAACAATTCAGTAACAGTAATAGGCAGGGCACAAATTGCAGAGAATACTTTCTGAGTAATATTTGAGTTGGACAGTTGCTAGGAGAGAAGAATCAAGGAAAGAACATGCACTTAAAGGAGATGTTTTAGGAACTCTAGTTGACTCCTAGGTGATTCTTTGAGCTCCACTTCTCTGGCAAGCTACAGAGGGCTAAAGATCAGAACATGTGACATCCACGGTCTCAAACGCTGCTAGTCCAAGACATGTGTGCCGGCACCCGTTCCCCTTCCAGCCTGCCTTTCAGGAACCTGCAGGCCAGCCTAGCACTAGCCTGGGCCCACAAGAAATTTGTCCTTAACTACAGGAAAGAACAAATGATTTCAGGTAGAATGTATTTTCAGAGGCTGGAGGTTATGAAGAAAAATCCAATGCATAATAACAATAAAAAATCCAAAGACTTTGGTAGTTCAGAATCGTGTCATGTCCGCACTTGAAGCAGACGTCATGCAGGCCCCAGATGCCAGCTCTCTGCACCCCACATGTAAAGGTCACTCTGACATGCTGAGAGCCCTGCAGCTTTTGTTATTGACTCTGATGTCCCTGAAGTCACTTAGGAATGTCAAGAAGATTGACTACGCACCTGCAGCTTATAAAGACAATAAGTGAATGTCACTAGGAATCTATCATGAGGTCAGAGAACCCTCACTTAAGGGGTGCTCTGTCTACGTGATACTAGAAGGGAAAGGAGGAGAAATGGCCATCAACTGAAGTTAACACCATGCTCTATCTCATCTGTGTCATTCGGTCAGCCTCTGTGTTCAGTTCACTAAGCTTACTGCAAAACCAGTGAGTTTAATAGCAGCTAGCATATTTGAATGCTTACTAAGCTCCAGCTACAATATATTCCAAGAGTTTTCATGGCTTTTCACTACCATCCCACGTAATAGATGAGAAATCTGGGGCTCAGACTGTTAAGCAAATTGCCTACAGAAGCAACTCGGGGTGAAGCCAGCATGGCGTGACATGCCAGGTATGGACACTTAACCTCAGCCAAGCAAGCTCCTAATGGTCTGTTTGCTCTAAAATGTACACTCCCACTTCTCTCTGGAAGTGAAACTTAGAGAAGTCAGATCACTATTTTCCGATACAGGATGTTCAACCCTTAGTCTTCAAACAAAAGCATAGGGGTCTCTGAACTATTTTGACATCATGAAGTGTCTTAAAACCACCCACCTTTGCTTCCAGTCAAAATTGCATCAACTAATTCTGGGGACCTGGGTTATATCACCTTCCTTTTCTCTGTTTCTTTTTCACTTTGGCAAAATATGCATAGCATAAAATTCACAATCCTAATCATTTGGATGTACACAGTGGAGTGGTATGAAATACACACATGACGCTGTGCTGTGGATCACCACTACCCATCGCAACAATCTCTCCACTTTGTAAAAATTAAATTTCATATCTATGAAACAATAATTCCCCCACTTACTACATCTTCCAGGCCCCTGCAAGCCACCATTCTGTTTTTATTTCTGTCTTTTCTATCAGAAACTATGCTTGGCCTTTATGCAGTTATAATAGAACAGAGGTGATGCATCGATTACCACTGTGGTACCATATCACCTTGTGCAAATGATGCGTGCTCTGCATCTTGTTTTCCACATCTCTAGAATGGAACAGTAAAGTACCTACCTCACAGGGCTGTTCTGAGCATCTGAAATATTAATAAAACTTTAGTGGACATAAGATACCTCAACAGAGCCTGTCATGAGTAAAATCCTCCATAAATGCCCCGTGCTGCAGCTGCTGCTGTTACTCAGTACACTTTAGTTGGTAAATATCTTTCAATATATGGAATTGATGGAGGTGAAGAATAAAAAGGGCCTCTGAGGATTAAATTACATTTTTAGGAAATAAACGGGATACTTTAGAATCAAGGTGAGAAAACAGTAACAGCAGTAGAGATTAATACTGATTGCTATTGTTTCTCAGGGAAAATCACTAATCTGAAATGTTTTCAAAATTCCCCTTGTTTGACATTCTTTGAACTTTGCCCTTCCCCACCTAACTTCACCTTCTGACCCCCTGGGTCAGAGTAAGTTTCACTCTGTGTGCACCACCAGGTAATTGGTCTCCCAGGACCTTGAGGAGGGTTCCAAGACTAGGTGAAGGCTGGACGAGAATGAGGGCCATGATGAATTAACTAGAAAACATTTCAGGCACACCCACAGGGCATTTGCCATCTGTGCCCTAAATAATAATTTACTCTCCGTGAACTGGCCTCCTCACTGTCCTACAAAGTACAATTTGCAGTTCCTACATTTCTCCCCCTTTTAACCTTTTCATACTCTATCCTGCCTGCACAAGCTCTATGTACAGTAGTCTCCCCAGTCTCCAAGGGGGCGGGGGTGAGGGATGCTGGGGATCAAACTCACACTGAAGCAGCTGCAGCCAGCTTCGCAGTGCTGCGCTTTAACCCGTTACGCCACCGTTGCCCTGCAAGAGATACATTCCAAGAGCCCCAGTAGAGGCCTGAAACTATGGATAGCACCAACCCCTATACACCATGCCTTTCTTATACATACATAACTAAGGCTAAGTTTACTTACAAGTAATGCATTATGCACAGTAAGCGATCAATAATGAGTAATAATGAAGCTAACAATTATCACAATATACCATAATAAAACTTATGCACATGTAGCATGGCCCCCCCTCTTCTTCCCCTCTAACACAGTAACTTATTATACAAGATATTTTCAGATCATGGCTGACCTGTGCAAATGGAAGCCACAGAAAGCAAATTTGGGGGTCTGCTGATTCTCAGTTATTCACATCTACAGTATGGTTACTACATACTTTGCCAGAACAATTACTTTTTCCCCAGTGGGACTGTCAAGGGCTATAGATTCCTAACAAAAATAACCAGCAGTAATCATACTTCGGATCACAGGAAATCATTTCTCCAAAGGTCAAGCTCAATTTAGTAATATTTATTAAAAATTTAAAACTTCCTGGCCTAAGACACAGCAATTTCTTTAGTCTCTAATTTGCCCATGTGAACAAAGAAGAACATAGCAAGGACATATTTTCACCATACTATTACATGAAATTACAAAATATTAGAAATTACATTAATGGCCCTTATTAGGGAACTGGGCCAACTCTGGTTAGTTCATATTCTGAATGATTCTGCAGCAGTGTTTTACACACAGTAGGTCTTCATGTGCAATATGGTTATGTCTCCAAGGTACAGTATGAGATGAAAAAGAATGAACTGTAAAATGTATAACTATAGCCGGAGTTAGTTCCCAAATCACGCACTGCAGTGCCCCAGGAAACAGAGCCACACCAGACCTCTGTCAGACATTGTGCAAACTATAAACTGAAGAAAGCTCCTACTTCCAACAATAGATCATGCTATATTCCCTTTGATGTCGTACTTTCTGCAAAGTTGCATTTCCAGCGGTTGCTGTGATAAAAAGCAAGTATCACACAAGCACAGGAGTGGAACAGGTAATGAGTGATCTTCTGCCAGGGTTTGAGAAGCCATGGGGTATCCAATAGGTATATACTTCCTGTCAGAAAGTAAGTATGCTCAGGAATGGACTGGAAAATGCTATTTTCATGTGTATGGTGGTCTAAATGGCTACTAAGATCTAACATAATAATATGTTAGGACATACAAACATAGTAAGCTGTGGATCACGGCCCCATGAAGTAATTACAAAGATATTCAGAAAAACATAAAGCAAGAGATTTTTGGGAACCTCTGAAACTATGGTACCATATAATCAATGCATTTTTCTTTTTTAATAAAAAGTGAAAACAGTACCACATAGTTTCAAAGAATTCATAACTAGCATGTAAATATTTTTAAAGAGCTGGAATGCTACACACTAAACTTGCATGAGTGGGTAACGGGACAGAAAAGGAATATTGAGGGGCTGGTCAAAGAATACCATAAATCTAGTGTTTTCTCCTATGTCTCATCTATGATATTTCACTTCAGCTATCTATATTTATTGGTGCATTCTGTAAATAATTAAAAATACATTGAAAGAAAAAAAGTGAAGCTCTACTCAGAAGATAAAGTGCATCAAGGCAGATTTCATGTAATGGACTCAAAGAAGAAATTCATACATGACAGGCAGATGTCAGATCCATTTAGGTGCCAGGTTTGACACCGTGGCCTAGATCAGGAGCCACAGGTCCAGAACCCCAGCACTGTCATGTTCTAGCTGCATGTCCTCAACAACCTAGGGCTGTCTCACATAATGGCATCATTGTAAGGTTTAAGTGGGTCTGTTCACTAAGAAGCCCATGGACTATTGCTTGGAGGCTCAAGAGACACCTATTATTACCATCTTCTTCCCCAGGAGAGATTCCTGGGGTGGTGCAATGGCAGTTCTCGGAAAGCCTATCTTCATCTCTCTCTCCTTCCCTTATGCCTCACCCCACTTGCCTTCTGCTTCATAAGAACAGAGAATTCTTCTCCCTTCTTTTCATTCTTCCTTTAGAGTTATGAGTTGGGCAGTGATATTGGATCTGAGTTATACCTACAACTCCTGCTGCCAGAGCATATACAGATGGGTTACATACCTGTAAAAATAATACCTGTGGTGTGGTATGCTTGGTAATTAGACAGAAAACGTAAAGCAGTTCTTGCATTGCTGGTTTTCTTTCAATGGCTACTTGGGATATATGCTCTTTTTTTTTTTTTTTTATCTGTACTCTTACTGGAAACTGATATAATCCCTTGGAGAGGCATAAAGGAATGACTGTAAACCAATTATCTGAATTTGTGGTTGGTTGACTGCAGCTAAAACCTTTTTTCCTCAGCTCTCACTTAGAATAAAAATTGCAAAACTGAAG